GCTCAGCGCCTGAACCGACTAAACACATGATGAGACACAGACACACAGCTTACATTCCGCTTCTAAACCTATGATGACTCTCAGAATGGCAATTCTCTTGCACAGCACCTGATGGGTGGGTGGCTGCTGGAGTACAGCTACAGGTGTCAACCGGTGGACTACTCGCACAACCCGACAGCCCTCAGGGTGAGTACAAGGCACCTGCCTCCTCCGCTCACTACACATCAGACACGATTCAACTGTCTAGAGTTGACGAAATAAAACGCACGTTTCCTTCTGTAAGGATCTCCCATTTGTGCACCACTGGTAGTGCAGCGTTCAAGCTGCCTCCATCACTTGCGAAAAAGGGGTGTACCTAATGAAGGCCATTTGTTGCAACCCTACTGTGTGTGTGTGGATAGGCCTAATCCTGATATTGCCTTGTTTCTTGCAGATGGCAAACCTGTGCTGGTGGTACTACTTATCAAAATTCACCGAGTTCATGGACACCGTGAGTGGCTAACAGACACTTCTTAATCTTTACTGACATAACTCAATCACAACAAGTCTCATTTATGGTATTACATCGTCCAGCCTGATCCCGGCCATCCACGTAACGTCTGTACAAACATGATTATGTCAAAGTGTTTGAACTTGTTACAGTTCTTCTTTGTACTGCGAAAGAAGGACAACCAAGTGACCATCCTGCACCTCTACCACCACACAGTCACTCCCCTAGAGACGTGGGTGTGCGTCAAGTTCATAGCTGGTGAGCGCAACAAAACTTTTATAAGAAACCCCTAAGCCCACGATCCTCACACTCAGATGGTCTCACAGCTCTTTGAAAAGTATACAAACTTGACAAAAAGAAATAAAAGGGATCAACACAAGGAAAAGAATCAGGAATAAACATAATTCAGTAATTTCACCGTCTTCCGAGATGTCCTGCAGAAAGCGACAGATGTTTCAGAAGTGTTTACTGTCTCCATCATCACAGCACTTGTCCTGATATGTCACTCAGTTTCTAAAGACTACATGGCACAACATCCAACAAGACAGCCATCTTCATACTTGCTGCCATGAGAACCTGAAATCTCACTACGAAGCACAGCTGTTTATCCAGAAAGCCTAATCAATGACTGCGCTAAGCCACTTAACATGTCTTAGGTAGTACAAACTTCCGAATGCCAATACACTAACGCGGCAAGCGGGACGGAACACGTCTCTGAAGCACGTGCAAAAAGATTATGCTTGGCAAGCGCGTCGTAGACTTCTAGCAATCCTTACTGGGTGGAGACCACAGTCTGACAAGTTTAATACAAACTGAATTAAATTTACTATAAAATTATGTAAGATTTTTAAGTGGTTTGCAGTGGAGCAGGGCAGCAAACTGTACTTCACACTTCTTCATGTGGTATTTTAGGTGGACACGGCACATTTTCAAACCTTGTGAACAACATAGTCCACATCATCATGTACTTATACTACATGGTGTCAGCCATGGGACCCCAGTATCAGAAGTACCTGTGGTGGAAGAAGCACCTGACACTCCTTCAGCTGGTAAGTTCATGGCACAATAGTGCCAACCGCAATCTGGGAGAAATTTGCAGAAACCTAAATATCTATTCCCTGCAAAGAACAATATTTATAATGAGTTTCTAAATTGTTTCCTACATAGTCGAGGAAGTCACACGAGTAAGGCAGCTGAGGAGCGCCAGAACTCATTTTCAGTCGAGAGTAAAAGTTTTAACAGGACACAGCTCAGACACGCAACTGTTCCACAGCAACATGTCTTAAGCAATGGAGACTCCTCCATGCCTCATAGTAATAATATGAAATTTCACTGAATTTTGTTATCGCAGCTGCAGTTCACGCTCGTGTTTATCCACTCGGCCCAAGTCCTCATTTTTGACTGTGGATACCTGGTCGTCCACTCCGTCATCTTCTTCGTGCTCTTCTTCGACTTCTACCAGAGAACCTACTTCAAAGACTGTAAATTGCAGGAAAAGCTGCAGTAGATACACGTAAGCAAGCAGGAACAATTCAAAAACCATAAATTAATGATTATAAAATTTAGTAGTCCATTCCTGTCACAATGAGGCCCTGAAAAGAAACTCGGGGGCGATGGAGACAACAGCACTCGAGGCTTTCCCTTTCTGCCCACTGCTGCATTCCCCGAAGGCCCCCAGTGACCTCACGTACCTAACCTAACCAAACACCAAAGACATTAAATCCAGGGGATTTATTTCTGTGGCCTCACAACAGTACAGACTCAAACTAATCAAACTGTCACACATAACCTCAAAGTTTAGAACCTTTGCCACGTTAGTAATGGCTAAATGTTTAGAATGAATTGTACAGAATGTGTATCTAGTGGTGACATGGTATTCATACTATGGTTCATGAAAATCTATCAGTTGGAGAGAGGGACACAGGAAAAATAGTACCATAAACCTATCTTTCTATATGAAATGGAGAAACTACATTAAAACTGCTTCATACTGTAAAATATCTTTATGCCAACTGTTTCAGTATTCAATTTTCATGCAGTAAAGGCTCTCGAAAGAACAATGCCGAAGAGTTTAGTCAGCTCAGCAGCACTGGACACTTGAACGTTTAACAAATCAAATCAGAACTTGAAACCTTACTTAAGCCGAGATTGTCATAGTGGTGTTACGCCACCACGGCTCGATTTCTTGAATTTTGATAGCGTAATCTCCTCCACAAACTTAGCTTCATGATATATTACTTATTTGTTTCAGAACTACGCAGCACTGCAGTAATGACGTGTGCACACTCTACGACTGCGAACCATTGGAGATGATGAAATACAAATTTTTTAAAATATTAAGTGTAGTATTGTAAAATATAAGGAAATAATGTACATAAGTAAGAAGTGCAAATCATTTCCATTGGTCCTGTTCAACAGTACAATGACATGATGGATGTTAATTACCGTGCATATAAATATTTCATATTCTTAGTGATTTAGTTACAATTGACTAAGACACTCATTACTTATGGCTGCCTAAATGTTGAATCAAATATAAGTTTGAAAATGAAACCTAAGCCTAAAATCTGGCAGTGGCATTTCATCCACACCACACGCAATGGCTCTTATGTTGTGCCTTGTTTATACTCATCCTGCTCCAACTCCAAAGCGATCTTTGTACAGACTAACGCTGCATTAATACAGCAGTTTGATAAAACAGCAAGAACATTTTTTTGCTCCTTTAATCTTCTTTCCAACAATCTGTAACTAGTTCATATCAAACCATTATCTTCTGTGGAGTCACATCTTTTTACCATCAGCACATTTCTTGTCTTAAAAACAAAGTTTTCCTGCATATGGCACAGAACAAACCATTTTGTCACCATCAGCAAACTCCCTCAAGACAAAGTAATTTCATGTTACATTCATCTTATTTCTGAAGAGAGCAGAGGAATGTTCAGGTGACACAGATTTCACAGTGCCATTGCCTTCGGAAAAGCGTTTAGAGCCCGACGATACGATAGACGTTTATGTGGAACAGACGGAAAGAGAAGAAACTAAAATGAGAACAAACGAGATATTCCCACACATGAAGTACAACAGGTAATGTTAATCATATATATAAAACACTATATGGTCAACAGCACCAAAGTGCATTTCATTCTGTTCACATGCAACGAGAAACGCTTCTCTACAATACAACAGCTTTCTGGTGGTGCCTCAACTGTCCACCTCCCCATCATCCTCTACATCTTGTCACTCCACATAATATTCGGAAGTATACGAAAGGCTGTGAGGCTGGAAAATCTCATCAAACGGAAAAAATTCAAGAAGTATTACGGTCAGAAACCAGTGAGCTAGAAAACTTTATCTGACTGCTACGAAATATAATTTTAAAATGGTAAATGTTAGAAAAGATTAAAGTTATGTCATACGTAATATTATGACGTAAGTAGAAGAGATGTGGGCACGAGATGAAACAGACGTAAGCAGGTTACAAGCAGTACGGATGAAGTCTCCGTGAGCTGCTAAGCAAAATGAGGGAACACGCTTCAAACCAGGAGAGAAGGTAAGACGGAAAGACCAGAAACCAGAAACACTATACACTGCTGAAATGAAGGACAGTCTGATAATGGCGACAGGATTCTTTTGGTCAATAAACAATCACTGAGGATCCAGGAGGACTAGAGGAAAAACC